CAAATACAAATTAATATTAAAGAATATAGCTTTTTCAGGGTGCCAGTGGCTCATGTCTATGATCTTAGCTCCTCTGGAGGCAGAGACTGGGAGGATCATGGCTCTAGACCAGCTCAGGAAAAATGTTCACAAGACCCCCAAATCAATCAATAGTGGGTGGTATGGGTCTGTCATCCATGCTATGGCAAGGAGTATAAATAGGAAGATCACAGTTCAGGCCAGCCTAGTCCAAAAGCAAGACCCTGTATCTCAAAGATAATCAGAGAAAAGGACTAGAGCATGGCTTATAAGACAGAGCACCTTCCTACCAAGTGTAACACTCTGAGTTCAAATCTGTCCCCCCCAAACAGCATATCTATTTAAGTTGTTAAAAAATCTGTATATAGGTTTCAAATATATATGACAAATAATCAGTTGAGTTCTGGGTTATGTGAGTAAAACTACAAAGGCCCACACTTAATTGTTTTTCCTACAGGTCTTTTCCTTGACAACAGTAAATCAAACCCTTAAAGAGAATAAGGACAGAGCTTCAAAACTGAGATTCTAAACTCTTATTTCCAGTTATTGTCATTATGAGCAGAAAACCAGCTCCTGGTAGATTTTTTAAGGGCAGTGCAAACTCTCAAAGTTCTTTTGATGTCTGTCTTTTTGATTCAATCAATTGCCACATCTGCCAAGTCTTGCTTCAAAATGTCAGATATGTTCTTTCCCTCCCTGCTTTCACTGCTATTATTCAAAAAAAGGACTCTTATAGCCTATGACCTCTTCCAGTACTTACTCACATTTTACACTGTCTTCCTAATAAGGGAAGTAGTTTACATCCTGATCCAGTACAAATACATAGATATGTATGTTTATAATTGAACTGACACCAAATGTTTAGGAGAAGAAGATCAAATCAAGGTGCTTGGGACTTCCCTGCAAAGGCAGCAACAAAAATGCGAATGACCCAACTCATAAATTATTCATTAATAAAAAAATGTGTATAAGCCACCAATCATAGCTATAATTCTAGCTACTCAAGAGGCTAAGATCTGTAGGATCCAGGTTCCTGGGAAGAAAGCAGTGAGACTGTCTTCAAAAAAAACAACCAAAAGTAGAGCTGGAGACATGGATCAAGTGGTAGAGTTGAGCAAATATGAGGCCCTGAATTCAAACCCTAGTACCACCAAAAATGAAAGTGTAAAGCTGAAATCTCTTATAATAGTCTACCTAAAAACACTGAGATACCCAAAAATTTGGCAAAGGATAGGGAATTTATACTTCATCTTTTCTCTCCTTTTTCTACCTATGGATTGAGTTTTAAGAAATCATTTAAATTAACTTTAAAATGTTCTTGCATTTTAAATTCTTGTATTACCAACCTCTGTCCATACCAATGAATTCCTATGGCATCATTGTTTCCATGGCAACTAATGCATTTCAAAAGGGGGAAAACAGAAAACAAGACTAAAAGTCAGGGGAAAAAATGGAATAAAAATGGAATAAACAAAGCATAACATCCTCTTTGCATTATGTAACACTTTCTAATTTCAAACATTTTATCATTACTTAGACTCTGAGGCTTTTAAGAGCCAGAGGGATTTCAGAAGTCATCAAGTCTACTTCTCACTTACAGCCGCACCATGGATGTCAAAACTCCATTCAGTGCTCATAGCTGCTAAGTTTTACTCATTTACTTGCAAGTATTACTAAACACCTAAGTTGTTCTGCAGGCTTAGGAGATGATTAAGACATTCTGCCTAGGTTGTTTTTCTAAAATAAAGAAGAAAAAGAGGGGTTAAAAATAATACAAGAAAATGTCCAAAAAACAAGAAGACAGAACTATAAATTCTATGAGTCTTGGATTACAAATGACCTTCATTTCTTGTCCCTTTCAGTCACACATACCCATGACCACATTCTGGACCCTATCATGATCCAGAGCTGTTCCAACTCTGAAAATTTAAACACCAATATAAACAATGTGATCCTAAGCAGCTCTTTCACTCTTTAATCTCTGAAGCTCTCTTTTGAGCTTCACACAGCCCATCATCCTTTACTTGTGATGTTTCCTCATAGTTTCTTGCTAATATCCTTTGTGGTAGCCACCTAGTCACAGCTTAACCTATGCTCAGTGACTATCTCTTTTCTGTTAAGTCCCATAAGGATTATCTGTTCCACTCTCTGAGTCTACAGAAAAAATTGCTAGAACAATAGGAGACTGTATTTTTATTTATAAGGCAGTAAATGTCAAGGGCTACCAGTAAGAGAAAGTATTTGAGCTAAATGGGTATGTGTGCTGAATTCTGCAGCTGTAGTTGCAACCAGCAAAGTCCTGCAGTGCACTGTCACTTTGAATGGTAGCATCAAGTGAAATGGTGTATTGATATACAAAATGATAAAGTACAGAAGGAATGATATTTAAAAAAAATTCCCTCAGTATTTCATGGTTTTGAGTAAGATAGATGTGTGATTCTACTTTTACCTTACAGAATGAGATGTGAAACATTCACTTATATTTAGACAGAATGATTATTATCCTGTTTGAGGTCATCTTAACAGACCAATGGCCCCATTATGTAATTTCTTCTAGAAAGGATATTGATTACTTATAACTCAGTGTCATAACTTTTGGTAGAGAGCTTCCTCTCTTTTTTTCTGATTTGCCTTTTAAATCTTACACAATGGGGTTTCAATTATCTGAGTAGCATTACTTGTATCTAGTTTATCTTGGAAGTCATATTGTTCAAACTAGATGCTTTGGAGAAAGTTTTCTGTCAGAAGCAGCCGTATAGCTATCACTGCTTTAAATTTTTTCAAAGCTAAAGTTCACAACACAGACCCTAACTGGGCATAAATGACTTACTAATCACAATCTTGCTCCTGCTAGTAAGAATAGCCTCAAAACACCTGGAAGGTCATCACACAGGTTTCTCTCATTGAGCTCCTTGGTTTTCACCCGAGCATGCTGATCCAACCCCAGGCTCAACAATTTGCCAGTGTCCACAGCTCTGCACTAACTGGCAAGGAAGAAGAGGGACTTGTTGAAAACAGTCACCTCAAACCTACTATAACACTAGTTTATACTTATCAACTGAATGAATGAATAAACATTTATGAAACTTCCCTGAGAGTCCATTCATTCTAATCTATTAAAGAATTTGAGGCAAATTACAAATTCTTTCAATACCAAAATAAACACATCCATACAATTTGTGGTGGGTACAGAAGAAAGAACGATTACTCTGAGGCTAATCCATGGGTTGAAGTTTAAAAAGCTCTGCTCTAGGAAGGTGCTATACCTGGAATCCTAGCTACTTGGATGGTTGAAAATGTTGGGGTCACAGAAGACACCTGGGCAGAAAGAAGTGTGTGAGATCCTTTCTTGACAAAGAGCTGGATGTGGAGGTATACCTTGTTATTCTAGCAACTGGGAAACGTAACATAGATGGATGACTAGTACCCAGGCAAGTACACAGCAGGGAGCAAGACCCTATCTCAAAAAGGAAAAAAAAAATTGCAAATCAGGGCTGATGGCATAGCTCAGATGCTAAAGCACCTGCTTAACAATTGGGAGGTCTTCAGTAAACTAACACCCCAAAAAGTTCTTCCCTGCATAAATAAAACTCTTTGAGAAAAAAAAAAAACACTTAGGAGTAAATTAAACCACACAAGTGAAAGACTTGTCTGCTAAAAACTATAAAAACATTTCTGGAAGAAATTTAAAACATAAATAAATGGAAAAACTTCAAAAACAAATTCTCTGAGAAATAAAAATATATGTGGCTTAACAGCTACATATATGGAAGCATCATATTGACCTTGTACTGAAATGCTTGTACAAATCTAGCACAATTCTCCTTGTTATTGTTGAGGCCCACTAAAATGAAGGCCCTTCTATTTCTTTTAAGGAAAGTTATAAGAGTGCACGTGGGGGCTGGGAAGGTGGCTCAGTGGTAGAGTGCTTGCCTCACATGCATGAGGCCCTGGGTTGGATTCCTCAGCACCACATAATCAGAAAAAACAGGAAGTGGTGCTGTGGCTCAAATGGTAGAGCACTAGCCTTGAGCTGAAGAGCTGAGGGACAGAGCCCAGGCCCAGAGTTCAGGCCCCACGACTGACAAAAAAAAAAAGAGTGCACATGCTTGTCTCAACCTCTCTCTCTCATATATTGTTTGAACCTGGCAAAGGTACACCTCTGGTCTCTTTAGTACTCAGCTTTGTTTTGGCCTATGGAAATGTACAGGATTTTTAGTCCTGTGGAAATGCTCAGGATTTTACTGGGACCATGTTTCTTTTCCCTAGAAAATCCATGGCATATTTTAAAATTTAAATGTAATTTAAGCATATATTTTTCAACTTGTTTTATTTTGTCACATTGTGAACAAAAATTTCAAATATCTCCTAAAAGGTGGTCTATTGATGAGTTAAAATGTAGGAGGACAAGTCATTAAGTCTGCCTACCTAAATATTTCTTAAAACACTCATATTATTTGGTCAGTAAGAACAACAAGTATTTTGAGAGAGGTGGTACTTCTTAGGAAAACTCACACCTAAGGACATTTCAGAATTATTCTTGATTTATGTAATATGCAAAACATAACTATTCTTGTGTTTTAAAGCAACCATAAAAATGAACTAAGCTTGTGTGTGTGTGTGTGTGTGTGTGTGTGTGTGTGTGTGTGTGTGTGTGTGTGTGTGTGTGTGTGTGTGTGTGTGTGTGTGTTACTTGGGTTTGACCTCAGAAAAATCACTCAAGATTTGAGCCATGACACCTCCCATCACCCCAAACCTTTTTTGCTTTATTTTCCCCACAGAGTCTCTCATTTTGCCTTGGACTATTACCTGCACACTGACACCTACAGAGTAGTTGAGATTATACACATTATACACACATTGTGCCCATCTTAAACTCTGAAGTTCATAAAGATTTCTGCACAGCCTAATTTAAAACAGTTACTTGATTCTTCAATTAATAGAGTTCTATATTTTTCAATAGTAAAGCTGTAACTGCTTACAGGCACATGGACTTTCCGAAACATCTCTGCACCCTTGTGTGCATCCATCAGTGCAATGTCCTGGGGAGTGGAGACAATCACTGCACCTAAGCAAAAGATAAAGAAAATGATGTTGTCTTTTCGTTCTTTATCAAAAATTGCTTATGTGGTGAAAATTTTACATAAATGAGTAGGAAAGATGAGGAAATGTCTATCTTGCCTCCTTTGACTCTTCACTTCTAAAATTATTGAACAACTCAGTAGCATAGATCATTGGACTTTCTCCTCATTCAGACAATGTACTAAGGAGAACAGAAGAACCAAGCAAGCTTCACCTTCAAGAAGTTTCCTTTACTTCAGAGACAACCAACCAAAGATTATAATACAAAGTGCTAGGTCTTGTAATAGTGATATGCAAAGGATATTATATATTTATAATAAAAAGGCAGGAAGAAAAACTAATAGGTGAAATGAACCCCAAGATAAGGACTCAAATGTTTTTTCTTTCTTGCTATTGTTTCTAACATATTTATAAGGTATTTCTTTGTTGCTTTGTATGTCCCTCCCCCACAGTATATTTCACTGTCTTTGATGTTGTATAATTTGTGGAGGGGAAGGGAAAAAACAAATTGTTTAAATAGGGATACAGGTGGACCCATTACAACAATGAGATGTACAAGATATTATGTCGAAAAATGAACTTTAAAACTTTGGCACGGGGGGTGGGGAGGGGAGGGAGATGGGAAGGGATGGTAAGGGGAAACAAAGGAGGAGGCAACAATGCTTGATAAGAAATGTACTCATTACCTTGTCCATGTAATTGTAACCCCTGTGTACAGTATTTTCACAATAAAAAAAAGAAAAACTAATAGGAAAGGAAGACAATGATGAATTGTGATGGACAGAGAAGCAAAAGGTAAAGAGAAACAACAGGAACACGTTTCCAGAAAGAGATAATTCCTAAGCCAAGTAAAGAAACTTCATATTCTGAAAAACTGGCATGGTGAATGGCTTGCTGGAGGTTAAACTTAGGGCTGGGGTTGAAAGTCAGAGGCAAAATAGTGGTGTCTGAATGAGTTGAAGGGATAAAGATGGTGATTTCCTGCGTGTCCATTATTACCCTATAGAAACAAGAGAGAATTGGACAGTATTTTAAGGAAAGTGCAGTTCAGTTTTTCCTTAAATAACAACAAAAGTCTGGTTATGACTAGCAGTCTGTGAATGTTTTATGTTCTGTAACTTCTTCTAGGTAATAGTCCCCAAAAGAAATAACACAAAAAATACTATAGATCACACAACCGACAGAGCTAATGAAAAGAGAAAGGATTAACAACAAATAACTTTTGTGTCAAGGGAAGATCAAATGATACTACAGAGTATTGTCTAAATGAAAATTTTAGGAAAATTAAAATACAGCAAGTGGAATGAGGACCAAGTTATCACAAATCTGTTAAAACCTGCCAACTCAAAACAAAAAACTGTAAATAATAAACTACAAATTCATTACTTCATTTCAGCACATAATCTTTCACATTAAAATTAATGTCATTAATTCAAATTTCACTAATTTTTATGTTTTACTTATATTTAACTTGTTTCATATTTAGTAACATAAGAACTATATGTTTAAACAAGCACAAGTGGCTGATACCTATAATCCTAGCTATTCAGGAAGCTAAAATCTGAAAACCGAGGTTCAAAGCTAACCTGGGAAGGAAAAGTCCATGAGACTCTTACTTCCAATTAATCAACAAAAGAAAAGGGTGAAAGTGGAATTGTGGCTCAAGTAGTAGAGCAGCAGCCTTGAGTGAAAAAGCTAAAGATAGCATCTATGTTGTGAGTTCCAATGCCAGCACAGAGAAGTAATTTTATAATTAAAAATAAATCAAGGTAGGAACAGACATTATTTTTCCTTTAGAAGGCGGGTCTATATTCACACCCAAGTTTGAGATACATCAATTGCGGATTCAAAGACATCAAGATTCAAAGTTTGCTCCTATTGCTGGCACCTGTACAAGGAGGAAATGATTTAACCTACTCAAGCTTCAGTTCCTTCATCTACAAAATGGAGATCCAAGTATTACATAAATAATAAACTACTGTCCAGATGCCTTACAATTCAATAACTGATAGCTGCTGTTAATAATATTATTGTTGCCATTATTATGTTTATTATTGTTATTTTTAACATGCCTTAGAAGTTGCAGGAAAGGCCATCTTCCTATATGCTCCTGGGCAGATAAGATTGCTACTCCCCTTCTACTTCGCTTTATACCCAATAAAATGGCAATAGTTTCTTTTCCTCTTTTTTTTTTTTTTTGTTGTTGTTGTTGGTTGTGGGGCCTGAACTCTGGGCCTGGGCGCTGTCCCTCAGCTCTTCAGCTCAAGGCTAGAGCTCTACCACTTGAGCCACAGCACCACTTCCTCTTTTCCTCTTTTAAAGACTGATGCAAATCACATCTGTGTAAGAATTATACTCTAAACATCCAGAATATTTCCACATTTTTTTACCTTATAGATTCTGTTTTTATACCAATCTGCTTTAATCCAGTCATTTGGAAGGGATCTAATTTGAGCTTTGTCTCAATATGGCTGTGACTAATCTTGGGCAAATAACAGAATCATTCTGGGCCTGACTTTCCTTAGTTATAGAATTAGTGCAAGCACTCGACAGTCTCCAATAACTGTCCTATTGCTGATTATATAACTTAGCATTCCCTCTTAACAAAAAGTGTTTTTGGAACTACCTCTGCTCAACCTTAGTATCCCAATAATCTCATATGAGTGAATGTGAAATGCCACCTCCTCCAAAAATTATTGCCTCTCAAGCTCATAGCCATATTCTTCATACATAAACAGGGAACTACTTGGCTATTTCCCCAAACCTTCTCCTTAACTACACAGGAGCTAGTACACAGGAGGTTCTCTACTCCACAGCTCTAAAAAGTAATCTAAGCATCCATATGATAGTCAAGAGGCAAATATCAAGGGGATCATGGTTTAAGGGGATCAAGGTTTAAGACTGAGAAAAAAACTGGAAATGGTGGCATACATCTGTCATGCCAACAAATAGTTGGCACAAATAGTTGGGAAGCACACATAGCAGGATTGCAGTCAGTCTGGCCTGGCCTAACCACAAGGCCTTATTTAAAAACAACAATGAGGGCATAGCTCTGATGGCAGAGCACCTGAATGGCAAGCATAAGGCTCAGAGTGCAAACTCTATTTACCTCAAGGGGAGAGTGTAAGGACTAAGGTAGTTCTTGTGGGATCTAGGTGACAAAAGTTAGTATAAAAAAAGAGAACTTGACCCCTGATTTTCTCTGGCTCCTTGTCTTACCATGTCATGCACCCTTCATGCACACACTCATACTCTGATGTCTTCTAGTACAGCATAATACAGCCATGAAAGCTTTTACCAGAGGCTGAACAAATAGAACTACCTAATCTCAGACTCTAAAAAATCATGATTTAAATAAGCCCCCTTTGTTTATAAAATACTCAGCCTCAGGTACTTTATTATAGCAATAGCAAGACTATTCTATCATTGAATACTGCAACATGAATTCCTTCAACTCAAAGTTATGAGTTCTGAATTCCGATTTTGTGGACTATGTTCATGTAATGAATAACGCTATAAATTTCAAAACATGTCAACTAATCCTTGTATAAAATAAACATATTTTAGTACTATTATATGAAACTAATTGTGTCGTTAGACACAAAGTGCTGTTCCATTTTAAAAAGAAGCTGGGTGCTGTTGGCTCATGTCTGTAATACTAGCTACTCAGGAGGCTGTGATCTGAGGATCAAGGTTCAAAGCCAGCCTGGGCAGGAAAGTCCATGAGACTCTTGTCTCCAATAAACCACTAGTAAACCGGAAGTAGCACTGTAGCTCAAGTGGTAGAGTTCTCACCTTGAGCTGAAGAGCGCAGGATAGTGCCCAAACCCAGATTTCAAGCCCCATAACAGACAAAAAGCAAAAGAAAGAAAAAGATATAGATATATAAAAGTATTATAAAAATTTTCAGAGCCATTATTTTGATATCTAAAGGAAAGATTAAAGTTATTTGCTTTTTTCTATATTGATTCTAATGTAGTATCATAACAGAGCAACTATTCCATCTGAGTTTCTCTGTAGAGTGATCTGAATAGCACCATTCAAACACAATTCCTAACTTTTTAATAAGGACAATAATCTTTCCTGTCTCAATAAATGTTCATGCAATGTGTAAATTGCTTCAGTGGGACTTCCAATTATATCTACAGAAAATATTTTGATGTGAGATTCTTTTTACACTAAACTACATTGTTAATTATTAGGTTCTTAGTCAAAACAAAATTGGACTTTGAGATACCATCTTAATCCACTCAGACCACTGTCTTTCTTGTAGTATTAACATTTAATATATCATACAAGTGGCCTTTTAAAGGTCAGTGCCTATGCTGACATTTAAAATTTATGAGAAAGAAATAAAACATAAATAAGATTCACAGAAAACCAGTAATAAATTACATTTATTTTATGTATTACCTAAACGTTAAAGAAATTCTATCAAATTTTTTGTTACTGTATCTCATAACTTAAAATATGGTCTTCAAAACTTACTGTTCAGGGTGAGGGGAGGAGGCTGGGAAAGAAGGGAAAGTAGGAAAAATACAAAGGAGGGGGTAACAATGTTTGACAAGAAATGTACTCATTACCTTACTCATGTAACTGTAACCCTGTACAGCATCTTTACAAGAAAATAAAATTTAAAGAAAACTTAATGTTCCTCTTTGTGGATCTTGAGTTGTACATGATTATTTTTCATTTTTCTCATGATTCATGCCTATGAACCACTACAAACTGGCCTACATTTTTCCCGCTCTTTATACCATCACTAATGATGTCATTTCAGTTTTGTGATGAAAAGTTTGTTAGAAAACTTGTGCTTCCTTTTCTGACTATTCAGAAATGTTAAAAGAATGTTTAGTCTGCACCAAATGTGATTATTTGGCCAGTGGAGTTTGAGGGTGAGTTAAATGCTTATCTCAAGAATCCCATTAAGAATTGTCTATCCATTTCCTATGTACATAACTAAGTCCAAATAAGTAAATAATATAG